TATATATGTATTTTTTTTTTAGGACAGACGATTATAGCACAAAATTGACAAAGCTTTGGCAATAGCAGTCTGCTGGTTTGTTTTGTTCTCTGCCCAAAAAATGGTGTCATCTTTGTTGTCCTCCCTTTTTATTTTTTTTTATTTTAAATCCAAATAATATCTTGAAGGAATTACCATTTCAGAATGTAGTTGCCATTTCCTGCAAGGAACCTACAGGAAGGCTGGAGAGGGACTTTTAAAAAGAGTGTCCAGCGATAGGACAAGGGGAAATGGATTTAAATTGAAGGAGAATAGATTTAGACTGGATCTTAGGAAGAAATTGTTCAGTACGAGGGTGGCAAGACTTTGGAATAAATTACCCAGAGGGATTGTGGCTGGCCCCTCCCTGGAGATGTTCAAGGCCAGGTTGGATGAGGCTTTGAGCAACCTGGTCTAGTTAAGGGCATCCCTGCCCATGGTAGGGAGGTTGGATTAGATGATCTCTAAGGTCCCTTCCAACTGAAGATATTCTAGGATTCTATGATTTGAATGTAACAGCTGGTCAAAAGGAAAATGTAAATAAGGAGCATACTCTTTTCTGAAAAGTTAATTTTAATGATGTCAGCTACAGACAGAGATTAGTGACTATCCTGAATCTGGTGGTTGAGTGATATCCAGCTGTGACTCATTACGTGTGAGGTAGGGGAGATACCTTGCTACCGCAGAGTGCCCACTCTAGACTGTTGGTGAGATTTTGCTAGCCACCTTGCCTTTGTTCCCATCAAGGCGCTGAACTGTAGGTCAGGAGGATGGGGTTTTATTTCCAATGTTGTTGTATCACTCTCTGGAAGATTTGGCAAAAGGGCAGGAGAGTACAGAGCAACAGCTCTCGTCTTGCCTTTCCCCGTTAGAAAATGTATGCATCAAAACTTACTTTTGGCAGGAATATGAGGATTCTGGCCACTTCTAACACCACTGAGGGCACAGCTTGAAGTTTCTTATTCTATTCCAACAGATGTCCCAAGTTTATTAAAAGCAGAAGAGCTTTTGTTTGATTAATTTTTCTTCTGAACTTCAAATGTCTTCAGTATTGTAGACTGTGCTAATTTCAGCTTTATCAGAGCAACGTACCTTTTCTTATTCAACGTTTTCAGCGGTGTGTTGGGCTAGCTGTACTTGAGCAAGCCTACATCCTTCTGAACTTCATAGCCACAGGATGCTCTCTAGGTTATTTGTTCGGCTCTGGTTATTAAAAGAAGGTACCTGTGAAACATTTCAGGTTATTCTGGTACAGCTTAAAAGAACATAGGTAAAATACAAATGCCTCTTCTGGGTAGTGGAACATGCCCTTTCCTGGAGGATGTTTCACTGCCACCTCCTTATTCCTCCATCATATTTCTGCCAAAGTTCGCTTTTCCCAGCAGCTTTAAACCTTTTTGTTACTTCAGCCTTTCCAGGCTGAGCTGAAGATGGCCATTTTGTACTGAACAGTACAAAAGATACTGTGACTTTAATGTTAATCAAAGTGCCTTTTTTTTTGTGGAGAGAGAGAAGGCTATCAGGCATATTAGATTGAAGTTGCCAAAGTAATAATTGTCTGTACTTTAGCAATAGGTGTGCTTGCTGATACTTAATTAAGTACAGGAACCGTTGATGTGGTATGCTTCAGTTTAATAAGCCAACTTTCAATGAGCCTAGTATATTTTTAGTTCATAGCTAAGGGGTGCAATTGAGCTGCATCTTTTTAGAATAAATAAATAATTTTTAAAACCCTTTCAGCTGCTTATTCCCTTCTCCATATTAATCCTCCCTCTTCTCCCTCCCTTCTCTGGAGTTTTACCACCCTTGTGAATAATGAATGAGCCTGAGGATTAAACTGTGTTTAAGTGAACTCCTCTGTCTGTGTAAAACAGCTAACCTAGTTTCGGTTCTGTGCAGCGCTGAGAGATTTTTTTTTATTATTTTTTTTTTTTTTTTGCTTCTAATGGAAATAGTGGGTGTTTTTAATCCTTTGGCATTCCACGTGACTCCTCTGTAGCATGTCTGACCCTTATTTGCTGCTGAGCAAGTTTCAACCAGCTGCAACTCTTGCAAATCCACTCCATTCATTAATAGACCTTAAAGGTCAGTGTGGATTCCTGCGTGCATGGGAGAAGCTATCAATATTTTAGCGCTTTCTCTTAAGATTGATGACAGTAATGTACCTACCTTTTGTGTCCTGATCAGCTTGTATAGGCTTCAGCCAGCTTATTTCTGAGTCTCATTTTGCCTGTTGTGGTTACCTGTTCCCATTAGCAGGTAGGAGTGGGACAGCCTGGTTTGAACGTGGTCACTGCATGCTGACAGGTACACATTTAGTTCTTCTGTATCATGAGTTTTCCGGGGCAGCCTTTTCTGAAAGGAGGAAAGAAGAGAGAGGTCTTATTTCTGTTGAAAAGGCACGGTCATGCCAGAGTTGGTTACTAAAGGATAAATAACATTAGTTTTCCTTTTCTTTGGAATTGTTTGTGTGAATTCTAGCCCTCAAGATGCTCACAGTGTGTATTTCACCAGTGCTGCAGTGATCACCAAACTCCCCTAAAGAAACACGAATCCTCTGCCCCTAGAACTTGACTGACAGGAGTGGGCAGTGCCTATACCTCAACAGGTCTTGTTCCCATCCTGGAAAAAGTCCTCTGAGGAAGGAAAAATAACTTCATTTCAGTACTTCTTCAGTCCTTGCTGCTTGCAGTGGGACTGAGGAAAATATTGACAAGGGCTTCTGCTGCTTTGGGGAGTAGGGGAATGGCATTCAGGAACTCTGTAGAGATCTGGCTGTTTTGCTACGTAATTCAGCCAGCAAGTATGTAACTTCGAAAGTTTAATTTACCATTAGCACTGCCTCCCTCTGAAATCTGAAAGACAAATTACTACTTGGTCTCATGTTGGTGGTGTGTTGGGTTTTTTTCTCTGACTGGTGCATCTTTAGTTACCCAAATATTCAAAAAGTACTTTTTAATGGTTTGTAGTTGCTTTCAAGCCTGCGGGTTTAAACTAAACACTGATTGCACCTTAGCCTGTATTTAAAATACTGAAAAATTGGATGGCTTTTTTACCAGTGCCTTCTAATCACTTGAAGCTCAACTATACTCTCATGGTTCATTGATGATGAATTCAGAATTCATTTTTATGTGGAATGAATATGGAAATGCTGTGGTTTTGTTATTACTTTTACCCATAGGTACATCTGTAGTAATATTGGAGTTACTGAGGTCTTGATAAGAGAATAGAGGTGTTTTGACATACTCTTTTTTTTTCTTTTTTTCTTTTTTTTTTTTTATTGTGTTAATTTAAAATGTGAACAGAAGCATTGTTCGTATAATGCTATACTTCTGGTCTTTCTCTCTGTTGTTGTGAACTTGTTGCTTTTGACCTTTGCTTTATAACTATCTTGACTCTTAAAAATAGAGTTTTTATTTATACTTCTAGACAAAACCTGCAGGATGTTTCACTGAACTCCCTTATGCAACTTTTCTCTTTGCAGCCTGAGATTTCTCAATGCCTCTGCCAACAGACTGGAAACACTTCCTCCAGCCACTCTTTCTGAAGAAACCCATAGCATCTTGCAGGAGTTGTATTTGACCAATAACAACCTCACGGATAAATGCGTACCCTTATTAACTGGCCATCCACACCTGAAGATCTTGCACATGGCTTACAATCGCCTACAGAGCTTCCCTGCGAGGTAAGTAACTGGTTTCGCTGCCTCTGGCCCACTGGTGGGTGAAGCATTTTCACAGTGAGAACTAAATTGCACAGAGAGGCGGTGGCACAGGGCTGTGTTTCGAATGCAGCGATGCTGCAGTGGACCGGTATACCTGCTGTGCCCTCTTGCACGTCGCTGCTCTCTCTGCGTTGCACAGACAAGGGAGCGCTACGTGTTCATTGGCGTGTTTTGATTGCGCTTGAAACGTTTTTCAGCTGGACTAATTCAGCATGACAGCTGCACGCTTTTGTAGTCAAGCAAGGAGGTCTTCTGTTTTCTCTTGTTTGGTTATTTTGCTTACACCTGGTGGGCTTCTTACAAGAAATCTGTGAGTGTAGCAGTCTGGAAATGACTGAACTCGTCTGGGGAAAAATTCCTCTCGCTCCAGCAGGAGATTCTGCCTTGGCAGCAGTTTCTGTACTTTCAATTCACCCTGGTTTAATCAGAAATCTTTCAAGTGTAAGATGTGCTGTAAAGCTGACGGGGTACAACCTTGGAAAAGAGATGCCAATAAATAAAGGAAGGGACATCTCTGTCCTTGTGTGATGTTCTGAGCAGCTGGGCTTCAAGGAGAGGGGGAGGGAGGGAGGTGAATTTGGGGGAAGGGCTGAGTGGGATGCTAGAAGGCGAAGGGGAAAATTTGGGATGAAGTGAGAAACTAGGGTGGGAAGAAACGAGGAAAAAGAGGGAAAGTGAGTTGATGAGCAGGGAGAATGTAAGCAAAATAACTTATTTGAAAGGTAGCATTAACAAAACACTGACAGAAGCAGCACGCGTTTTGTTCCACAACTATGTTAGCGTCTGATGTGAGGAGAAGTGACAGGCACTGCTGTGCACAAAGATCAAAGTCTGCAATTTTATTTTCTTAAAATAATGAAAACCCCTGCTCTTATCACCACATCAAAATAAAATATGCATGTCTATTAAAAGAAAAATTCTCAAACTCTTGTTTTCATAGCAAAATGGCCAAGCTGGAAGAGTTGGAGGAAATTGATATTAGTGGGAACAAACTGAAAGCCATTCCAACAACCATTATGAACTGTAGACGTATGCATACTGTAATTGCTCACTCCAACTGCATCGAAGTCTTCCCAGAAGTCATGCAGCTTTCTGAAATAAAGGTAAGGAATTAATGTGCTTTGGAAGAAGCAAGTATAGCATGACTTTACCCATTCTGTTCTGCCCGCGGGTCTCTCATTGCTGCGGGATAGTATATTCACAGAAGTTGCAGAGACCTGACAGCTGCTTTCTCCTCTGAGGTCATATGCAAAGTATTCACCCCTGTGCTGCCTCGGAGTGGAATGGAAGAGCAGCCTCAAAATCTGATTGTACACTCACCTTCACTAGATTCAATCTTCTCTACCAAATAAGTGTTTGTTAATTGTCTTCCTGTGACAGTCTGTTATGATACAACTTAAACGTTTGGCAAGAGCTGTGCATAATTAACTCTTGCTGCCTTGGCAGTTGGTTGATTGGGTAGGAATGGACTTTGTTTAGAGCACATGTTAGAAACCACTGAAGCTGCAAAATAGGATAGGCCTTGGGGACAGAGATAAGTTCCAAGAGCACAGGATTTGAGTATTTAGGCAAGCTACTTTAATGTTCCTAATTGCAGTCATATTTTGCACAACCAGAGCAATGCTTAATCCACCTCTCGTATGTGCTTCCAGAAGTAATTCTGTACTTTTCCTGACACTTCTTTTTGTGGGATGTATTCTTTGCTTGACTGTGCTGAAGAGAACTACTGGCTTACCTTTTGTGAATTGAATTCCTGCTTCTTCCCTGGCCGTAGCGCAGTGTATTTCACGCTCCGCGCTGTTTCGGCTCACCAGAGCAGCGTACAAATCTTGTGATACGGCAGAAAATCTGTCGTTCTCAGAGGCTGAGAACTGATTACCCGTTCACCCACTCAAAACAACTTCAGAGTCCTGTGGGTGCTCTGTAAAGTCAAAAAGCTGAGTTCCCAGACTGCTCTGTGTGCCTCAGTGTCTGGGGTCAGACAGAGCAGCAGGAGCAGTAATTCTGTTGGACAGTGAGTACATGTAAAGATGAGCTTTGTGGTTTTAGCCAGGAAATCTCAAACAAACTTGTGGGTTTCTGAATACTCCTCCCTCTTTGGAACAATGGCCGGAGGAAGCAGAGGGCCATTTAGAATCAGTCAGAAGCAAAGCCTTTTTTCTTAGAGGAAGAATTGGGGTGGGAGAGTGAGGCTCTGCACAGTAAACACTTCTTTAAAAGTATGAGGATGGCATTAAGAAAAAAATTTAAAAATTAAATTAGGATAATGTAAACAGGCTCATAGGGAACAGTCAGCATTTTCATTTTGTTCATGTGTTCAAGGGAAAGCTGAATGTTGTATAAAAGCGTCGGTATTTAAAGTGCTACTCTGCCACAGCACTTAGCCAAAAAAACGCTCTTGGAAGACCTAGCAGTTTCTTCCTGCTGGTTCCCTAAGGTTATTTAGTCCTCATTAGCAGAAGAAAGAGGCATGGACGTCACTAACTGTTCTGGGACTGCGAGGATAGCGTGCATGGCTTCATCTAAGAGGGCAGAGTGCTCCAGGACTCCGCCTTTGTGGAAAGAAAGTACCGAAGCCAGGTTTTGACTTACATGTGATGGGTTCGTACGGTTGCCAGATGGGGAGGTGCCTTGTTGGGCACAGGGATTCTTCTGTCCTCTTGGTGATTTCTCTCGGCCAGGGTTGGTGTTTGTCAGTCTGCAGGTCAAGCATGTGCTGCCTGCCTGTATCTGTTACTTAGCTTAACCTCAGCTTTGTTGGAGGTGTGTGAGAGCATTCAAAATGCCCCAAAGTAAGATGAGAATTTATTGTTTAAGTATGAATTGTCGTTTGGTGAAATGAGCTTGCTTGTGGCAAAGCACAAAGTTGTATAGTTTCATATCATCTCTGTGATGATATCATATTTGGTGGTTATTTTTAACTGAGGTGGCAGTCAAACACTAAACTTCTTGGGGAACTCTGTTACCTGAGGTAATGACTGTTCTGCTTTTGTATTTAATTAGCCTGAGAGGCTGACATGTTATGTTTTTGGAGTCAGTGATACTGGAACAGTTAGTAGCAGCAGTTACCTTCGTGTCTGAAATAATTTCAGAAGGAAAGCTGGTATAAATGATGATGCTTTTACACTTGCAGTAATTCCAGGATATCCAAACAGAAGGTCCTTTTAGCGATACAATTGTCTCTAAGCCTTTTTACACACTGCAGTCAAGCCTACTGAAGTTATGTGTTGTCTGCTGTGTTAAAGAGACTGGTGGATGTCTCTGAGATATCTTATACAATACAGTTTTAGGGATTTTGTTGTATTTTAGGACAGCTATTTATACTGTCTGAGTTAAGTTTATCTGCACACACTAAAATATCTTGTGCGAGTGGCCAAGCAGCTGGAAGCAAACACATCTGAGTCAGTGCCCCAGCAGACCATTATAGCTGCTGCTTTACAGAACCATGTTTCTTTGCATTGCAAAAGAAAAGAAAAAAAGGAGAATTTTTAATTGTTATCCAGCATCCTGATGTTCCTTTGCAGTCAGTTCAAGAGTCCATATTGCTTGAGCAGAGCTCAGCGACCCAGGCTTGCTTTTCCCTCGTGGGACGTGGTTTTGCTTATCATCCAGTGTTTGTTGACCGATGAGTTACTTCTCTGTAGTGTTTGTCTCACTCGGCTCCCGCAGGGAGGGTGATATCGAAGTTTCTTGTTACATTTTTTGGCCAAACTCAAGATTTGAAATAAGTGAACATCTAGTAGCAGTAGCATCTTAAATATGAAACTCTGAACCTTTGGTAGTTGTTCTCCTAGTGAAGTAGGTTAGTATTGGTATGGCCACCTTCAGTTGCAGCTGGAGGTAACTCGGGTCCCTTCCAGCCTTGAGCAGAGCAGTTACTAAGCTGTAAATGTGGTGTAAGCAAATGATGACTATTAAGCCCTGTTTTTCAGCCAGCCTATCCAGTGCAAAATCCTGCAGGAGTTGTTCCGATGCTGCATGGGTGGGGCTAAGCCAGTTTGCATTAAAATGATGCATGAGGAAATCGAGATTAGTTAGGAAATACGTTTTCCTGCTTGCCTAGGGAGTAGAATAAGGACAAAATTTCACATGGATATGCAGGAAGCCCTTCATAGCCTGTTCTCCAAACAGTACAAATAAAACCTAAGAACTCTGAACCTGATAAATAAGCTATCTTCCCTGGTGCCTAGGGACCGCGGGACCTGCTATAGAGTGTTGCTACCTTTGACGTGTTGGGCATTTAATGAGAACGATGAAATTACTTTACCGATTTTTGTACTTGTTATTCCAGCATGCTTCTCCGTCAAATTTGTAATGGCATTGGGATGTTGAACACAGCAAGGCCTGCTGGCAGCCTCTTTAATCTGCAAAGTAATTACTTTGCTCTGGAAGTAGCAAGGAGTTGCGCAGAGGGAAAAAAAGCCTGTTGGCATAACTGTTCTGTTAAGCTGTCTCCTGTTTTATTTGCGTGACAGATTTAAACTCTGATTTCCTTATCAGGCTTAGATAACGTCAGCAGTTTGTTCTTCACAGATAATGAGGCCTCCATATTAGACAACTTCAGGATTCAAGATTTGGGTCGGAAATTTGTTATCTCCATTGTGTGTGTTTAATAAAGTGTTAGGAGATTTTGCTTTTCCAGATTTTGCTAGGTTATCATATGCCTTCTTCCAGCTCAGGACTCAATTTCTTTTGAATATACCTACAAAAATGAGAGTGTCTCACCTGTATCAATGGAAATTACATAATGGTCAAAATGTGAAGCTAGGAAAAGCTTCGCTCCCTACCTCCCTTTCAGCATTCTGTTTTATTAAAGTTTTTGAAATCTTTTATGCAGATTGAAAGTAGAAAATGGTCTTTCTGAAAGATGTGAATAGTTCTGTCCTCTCTTAAATATCTGCCTGATCTGTCTTTTGGGCGGGGGGGGGCAGTTTTTAATGCATGCTGCACTAGTGGCCCTGTAATAGGGTTTGGAGAGTTGGCTTTGTTCTGAAATGCCATATTTTTCCCCACTGTATTGACTTTCATCTAGATATGGGGTTTTAAACAGTGTTTGTTTGGGGATTTTCTCATCCTAATGTACTTGTTCTAGCTAATTTGTGCTTAGCTGGTGGATAGCCAGCAAGTTTCTTTGCTGGTTTGTATAATTTTTTTCTGAAATATTTAAGGTTTAGATTTTTTTTTCCCACTCATTTTATTGACTTCATATTGAAATATGAATCCATCTAAGATGACATGAATTAAAACCGTGTTTAAAACAACTCCAGTATTTTTTTTCCTTTCCTCTTCTACTTCTCCTCCCCTCCACATGTATTTATAACTATGCTTATTTAATACCAGTAAATATTGAATTCTTGAGAACCTGCTCATACTCATGCTGGTTTAAACTGACTCTGGGGGAGAGACTGCTGTCCCAGTGGCTTAGAAGTCCCAGCTGTATTTATCTCCGTTTCCTTTATCAGTAACATTTTTTTTTTCTTAAATACTTGAAAATACACTGATCATCTTTGTCTCGGTGAAGAGCAGACAGTACTTACTAGGTTCGTAACAAGATGATGCCTGGCCAGAGATGGAAATGGAGGGAACATATTTCTAGGTGTCCCGGACATCTGGTAGGGTGGCTAAGTGCCATATGAATTTTTTTCGTAAGAACCACTTACTTAAACGAATGGTCTTAGACCTATGTTTTCTGCCTTTATTGTTCATGAAACGTGCATTACTCCATTTAATCAAAGTCGGTATGGTCTTGATGACAGCTGAATTCTCTCACTTATTTGGCTGCTTTCCTTTTGCAGTGCGTGGACCTAAGCTGCAATGAACTGAGTGAAGTCACACTGCCTGAAAACCTGCCTCCAAAACTGCAAGAGCTGGACCTGACTGGAAATCCGAGATTAGCCTTGGATCACAAAACACTGGAGCTGCTGAAGTAAGTTACCTCACAGGGTGGGGACGGGGCAAAACAACTCCCGGCACTAGAATGTGACTAAACCACAGTCCACGGAAGCATAGATCTCTTTCAAGGAGCATGGCTCTCTGTTATCACTGGATCAGAAAGTAACAGATTATGTGGGTAGGTCAGAAACTGATGATTCGTTAGAAAGCACAAGTTTACCCACTTTTTCAGCTGTAACTCCTGAAGGGATCTGCTGGTCTAATATAACCACTATTGGACCAGTTTGATCTGTGTTTTACTGCTGGCATTAGACTCAGCTAAATTTTTTTTTTTTTTTAATTCCACCATTGAAATGCTAGTATCTGCATATATATTTTTTTGCTCACATTCATCGGCTTGGATTTGTCTTCACTATTGTGCTGCTTTTTACCTCTTCACGTATTATTTCTTGTTACCCTTTGTACCTCTCTTCTTTTTATCCTAAATATTTTGTATTTAAACCTCCCCTAAAGATGGCACATCCCTCACTGTGCTTGCAGCAAAGCTAGTTTTCATGCTGTGGCACCCTCTGTTTCCTTCCCTTCTACCTGTTTGTTTCTTGCCCTGGGACTGAAGTGTCATCCATAACTAAAATTTGCCAAATCCTTTGTGCCTCCTTCTGCAGCGAAAAAAAAAAGAGTTGCACTAAACCAGATCATCTGTGGACAGTGCCTTGAGCTTTTCTTATGTCCTAAAGGAAACTGCACCAGCTCCAAGTTTCCTTCTGAGTCTCTTTGATCCTTAAATATTGAATAATTCCAAGAAGGGTTGGCTTCACTTTTTAAGGGTTGAGTGGTTGCTTCATGTTGTTTGCTTTTAAATAGTTAAGATCAGACAGTTGCCTAGTCAACCTCAACTGTTGTGCATGCAAGGGAAACGTACAGTGTGAGTTTGGTTTTAGCTTGGATCAGCGGATTTATCAAATTTAAATGGAAATTTAAATAATGATGAGTTTTTAAAGGTAAAAATGCGATTCCATGTTCTGCAGCAGATGGTGAAAAAAGGGGCATTCCTCTATTTTAGGAGCTGTTTTACTGTGTACAGGAAACCTTCCCAAAGAAGCAACATGTAATGTTGCTCTGGTTCATAGGGGAAAAAAATAAAAAAATAATATTATGAAGCTAATTGACCTATATTGAAATGTCAGTTAAAAGATAAGCTTTTCTTGTATATAACCCAGAAGACAAGCCAGTCTCTTGCCACTTTAGGATTCAGGCATCATGTCCTATAGTAGTAGTGTACACACAGTAGTGTGGCCCAGTTACGTGCCGTATTTTCACTGGCGTATGCATTGCCTTTAATTCACAGAAAACTTTTTTTTTTCCTCTTGTGCGTTCATTGTGTTTGGTTATTTGTTGTAGCTTTGCTGGTGTTTTTTATTTTCATAAATAATTAAAACCTCAGGTCTGTTCACTTCCCTAATATTCATTAGCCACCATGTGGCGTTTCAGGACTCCTGAGGGGTTTCTCAGTGTCTGGTTCTCATATGCTACACTGAGTTCTACAGTACCCTGCTATAACTGACTGTGAGGGAGGAGGTACTTTTCACTTGTGTTTTTGGTGACAGGCGCAAAAATACTTGTGCACTTGGTACTTTTTATATCTTCCTTCTGCATGCGAAAGGCAGCTCTCCATCTGTGCCCTGGCAAGATTCGAGCAGGTAGTAGGGTAATATGTATTCTCAGTGCTGGTGAGAAGAAGAGTCCTGTCATGCATGCTTGCTTTTTTAATATGTATGGGCATCTTAAAGGAGGCTTGCGTGCTTAGGAGGGTGTTGCCAAGCAATTTATTGGATGTCAGGATTTTTAGTAGAAATTTAAATGGGGAAAAAAAAATAAGTGGCTACTATTCTGATTTTTAGGAAAAAGCATCCAGTTCAATTGCAACAGTCAATTTGAATTAGGGGGGAAATAAACCATGCTGTTCAGAAGTCTTAGCCCATATTTCCTGCATGGTAAATGCTGCCGAATATCATTCCTTTCCGGGCACACGGTCTGTCTGTAGTGGTGCCACTAGGGAAGCTGAAGCTGTGTTAAGGGAACTTTCTTCACTCCTACTGGGAAGCCTCAAGACAACTCGGGGTCCTCAACTTGCTCAGGAACCAGAGGCCAGTCAATCCAGTTAAAAAAGAAACAAACAGAAAAACCTTGGAGAATAAATGCTTTGTATGAGAAGTCTGTGAAGAAAGTATGTTTACTCATGTGTGTAGTGTTTTGCAGGTGCAGACAGAATTAAAATCTCTGCTACTTGAGAAAAGATCCAGGTTTCCAGTTTGATTTGGGGTCAGATCGTCTTTTCTAACGTTCATGACAAGATGTTTGCCTCCTGTTTCTCACACAGAGAGCTGCAAAAACAGGGGCTTAAAACGCCAGTGGTTTTAACGTTATTTATGTAATTTGTTTGTTTTTAATCTGCCCTTGCTGATGTACATCCTGCCTATTAGCGAAAAAGAAATCCAACTGGATGTGACAGTACTTCAGGTTATTTGAGGAAGGCTGTGCAGTGCTGAAAAGACTTTTCTGTGTGTTCAGGTCAGGTGGGGGTTTGGATAAAGAAAAATGAATGCTCAGAGTGAACAGTTAGACCTTTCTGCTTGCATCCTTTTATGATTCATTTGGTTCATGAAAGGTTCGGACGCCTTTGAAGTGTCTGCAGCGTGTGGGGAGCTCGCTTTCACTGCCTTTGGAAGGGAGCAGGAGGGAGCAAGGGGGAGGTCATCTCTCGCCAGCAAAGCGGGACTCTGAAGAGAAGGCTATAAACAGAGAGGGCTGGGCCCATTTTAAATCTTTACTATGCTGCACAAGATATTTGAAATTCAGGCTAAAGACTACGTTGGTAGTAAATTGGAGGCTAGAGGATCAAGGGGCTAAGTAAAAAATTGGACTGCACAGCTGGGGAAGGTAGAAGGGCAGTGCTTGCTGTTGGGACTAGAGGCAGGTTGGTGCAGGGCCAGGATGGAGAGCGTTTCTGGTTTGTGGGCATTCTCATGGAAGGCTGTTATTACACGTTGCTGTTTCTGAAGAATATACTTTTTTTTTTTTTAATCATTTAGGGGATGGCATGGGTCATACAGGAGGTTTCATTTGAGTACAATGAAAAAGCCCAGAGACTTGTTGGTAAAATGAGTGGGAGGGATGTATAAGTTAAAAAAAATCACTCACCTGTCCTGGCTTTCATCAAGCTAGTGACAAATTTGCCTTGTATTCCAGCTGGGCCAGGTTTGAAACAAATAGGGCAGGGGTAGGGCTGGGGAAAGAAAAGCCAGCTAAGCAAAACAGTGCAGCTGACATCCTCATAGAGGCTCAGTCATTTACTGCTTTTTTTGTTTTTATGTATACAAGCGCATAAAAGTAACCACTTGAAGTGTCCTCCTTCATTTTTCTTCTGTTAAATGTATTACCAAGAACCTTCACATTTTAAGCTGGATCATCATGTCAGCACTTGAACCCATTGCATCTTTTCTCCCTTCCCTTTCTCCTTGCAGCAATATCCGTTGCTTCAAGATTGACCAGCCCTCGGCCGGCGACGCTTCGGGAGCGCCGGCGGTGTGGAGTCACGGTTACACGGAAGCGTCGGGCGTTAAGAACAAGTACGACCTGGTGTGGTTTTTATTATACGAGCATCCTAGCAGCAGAGCGTGCCTCTAGGCCGATACAAAGAAATCCTTTTTTCAGTGAAAGTTTTGGGGACATTTTGGGCCTCACAAAGGCAGAGGCCATGCCATGACTCTGTATTTGTGTACCGGGCCCCTGCCTCGCTCCCTCCACTTTGGTCTTTGTTAGGGAAGTTGCTAAGATACAAGTGTAACCGACACATTTTTGTCTATGTGAGACTCCGGTACTTGCAAAAGATCTGAATGTTTAAAAGCATTTTCCCCTTTGCAAAGCTGCTTTATCTTCAACCAAAGGATGTTTACCAAGCAAATCAGAGATACTAAAGGAAGCGACAGAATGGCTGAAACTCTGAATATTCATAGTGTGTGGAGCTCCTGTGACTAAGGCAACACTTGACAAATAATGTACCAAGAGTCTGCTACTCTCTGTGTTACTGGCAATGTGATGAATCTTTCTTTGTTCCTTAAATACCTTTTTAGAAATCTTCTGCTACCTAGGTTTCTGTAGCAAGTGCCAGCAAGCCTTTGCTTACTGTTAACTGATTTAACTTGCAGCCTGGTCATCAGCGTGTTACATCACAAGGATGGCTTTTGGAGAAGCGGGCACAGTTTAAACCAGTGTTGTTTCAGAGATAATTTTACCCTTATTTCTACAAATAAGGGCTTTGTTCTTATGCTGAAAAGGAGGAAGAATCCCTAGGTCTTGGGTTGAACTTCCAGTACAGTTCCCTCCATATCTTAGCATGATGGATGGGCCTGACTCTTCTCAGAAAGCAATCCTGAAGGGCTTGTGAGCAGAGGTCGTTACAACCAGCTCCCAGAGCAGGCTGCATCTCTCTCGTCAGAATGACACAGTGAGAAACTAGTAGTGGGTAACCTCCTTGATGTTCTCCTGCTTCTTTTTTTTACTAGGCTGTGTGTGGCAGCGCTTTCAGCCAATAACTTCTGTGACAACCGGGAGGCACTTTACGGTGTTTTTGACGGTGACCGCAATGTGGAAGTGCCATATCTGCTGCAGTGCACCATGAGCGACATCTTGGCAGAGGAGCTGCAGAAAACAAAAAATGAGGAGGAATACATGATCAACACTTTCATCGTTATGCAGAGGTAAGTCTTGGAGCTGAAGCCTTTTTACTCATTGCTCACTGGACAGTTTCTTTGCTTTCAGGTCAGACACATGCTCTTTTTTTGATTCAAAAAAACATGAAAAGGGAAAAAAGCCTTAGTATCTGTCTACAGTGGTTTTTTTTATTGCTTGTTTTGTGAATACTACCCTCTGTTCCCTTTCAGGTGTGGGGAGAAAAACTTCAAAATGTCCCCTCCCAAACAACAAAAAAAAAAGCATCCCACCTGAAAAGTTAATGCTCATGACTAAGTGGTGGATGAAGGTTTACCCTTTGCTGATATCTTCTTTAAGTCTTAAAATCTTCAACTGGCTGTAACCAAGTCAGTGGTGTGAATCTCTTGATCATCTTTTCAACTTCCTTACTACTGCTGGCTGCAAAGCCTGTGCTGATCCTTTCTGTTTCTCTGTACCATTCAGGTACCATTTAAGGCTACAGAAATATTTAAAACAGATAGTCTGACTCTTTAGAAATGTGTATCTCCCATCATCCTTTTGGCCTTAGAATATTATTTGGGCGGGACCCATCCAGAGAAATCAGGATACAATATCTGTGAGTGTAATAGCGCTGTGTGGTGGTTTGGAAACCTGCGTGCCTGCTGTTCTTGACAGAAGAAATTGTGCCTGGGGAAACACTGAGCGAAGGAGGAGTACAAAGGGAATTGAACAAAGGAGAGGGAAGAGGTCAGGGAAACAAAGGAGAAACCAAATAAGCAGCTTAGAGACTGAAGGAGTGGATCAAGTTAAAAGCAGCATTGCTTATCGTTCACTTGCTGCACCTTTGGAAAGGAAAAATGCTGACGTTCTGGTACCAGGAAAGACAGAGAAGCAGTGGGGTGGTATTGAGCCTTATAAACACAAGAGAGAAAGTGCTTCCTTTCCATAACTGCTTATAATAGTACCTCAGACTGGTAGCTGAGAAGGTCGTTGCCATATACTTAAAATATTCAAAAATAGTAACAAATTTGAGTATTGAAAGTACTTATTAAGTGGGTTTGTTTACTACTAATGTAATTTACAGGAATGTGGCATTCCTACAAAAAGCTGCTTTTTTATTTTTCTTTCTGGTCTCAAGTCAGTATAAACTCACCACTTTCGTGGTGAACCAGAAATAGTATTCATTCCAGTTGCATTTAACCATTCATTGAGGATTATTACAGATGATATGCAAAACTCCTGAGGGATATTTTTAAAAATAAAATAAAAAAAGCCCATTGAAGCTTGGTTACAAATTTATTTGTGTATTCTCTCTGCAGGATTTTGAATTAAAAGCTCTTACCAGCTGTACCTCACCTTAATATAAATTTTACTAACCTCTATAATAGCTTTCTAGTTAGTGTAATTCCTAATTACTAGAGGACAAGGCCCTGATAAACATGATACTGGGAAGGAAGGATGGATGTTTTTTCAAAGTCTAACATTGAAATGAATTTACATCCTAATGACAGGATTCTGAAAATTTCAGTTTTATCTGTAGATGATTTTATTTTTTTACCCCACTATGACTCCTGCTAAAACAGCAGGCTTAAATATTACAGGTTAGTAACTGACAGGATTAAATGAAAAGTGTGACTTAGTACAGTGGAATTAAGAGCCGCTGCTTTTTTGGTCATTTTTTGGTCATTTGATACTTTGAGAACATGAATCTGAAGACATCACAAAACACTGAGCCTCTGCTTTCTGGTTTTGCTCAAAAATAGGGCCTTTACACTTAGAATTGTTATTTTTATAATAAAATCTGTAGCTTCAGAAGCCAAAGAACCAGCTGGGTAGTATGAAAACCCTTTTTAAGCTCTACCTGTACTCATTTACTAGTCCTCAGTAGTTTTCCAACGCTCTGTTTCCCTTGCTCTGACATTTAAAACAAATGTCTTTAAGATACAGAAGAGAGATAACTGTGAAACCTTTAAAAATGTGAAGATTTTTTGTTGTTGTTGTTCTAAAATCAAGCAGATTTGAGTATTTGCATATGTGTAAATAACACACTGCCTGAGAGTTGCACGTGATTTCGCTGCGGTGCTGCCGTAGTGTCACAGTCTTCAGTGGAGACTTTTGTTTCTGTCCCAGCGATCCTCTAGAGTCAGTGCCCTCCGTGCCTGTGGTTGCAGAACAGCGGCTGTTTCTCCGTAGTACCCGTAACGCTTGTTTTCCAATTAAAGAACAATCGTTGTTTTGTTAAAATTCCAGGAAACTTGGAACAGCTGGACAAAAACTTGGAGGCTCTGCTGTCCTTTGCCACATAAAACATGATCCCATGGACCCTGGTGGATGCTTCACACTGACATCAGCAAACGTGGGGAAGTGCCAAACCGTTCTCTGCCGGAATGGGAAACCTTTGCCTTTGTCCAGGTGTTACGTGATGAGTTGTGAAGAAGAACTGAAGAGGATTAAGCAGCATAAGGCCATTATCACAGAGGTTAGAGAACACATAGGGGCTGTTGCAACTTGCAGCTTCCTCACAGAGTATTTTCACAGCAATGCGTGAGATTACCTGTCTGCCTCTAAGAGATAACGTTAATGGTACGAGTTCCAGACTTGTGCTGTTCCCTTGAAGGTGATTCGTATCATGCAATCCAGTTGTTTTTTCCATGCCATGCTGGATTTGGTTAGCTTCAGAGAGCGAGCAACAGAGACAGGCTCTTTTGAGGACAGAGCCACACTCTTCTCAGTGATGTCCAATGACAGGACAAGGGGCAATGGGTACAAGCTGGAACACAGGAGGTTCCACAAAAACATGAGGAGAAACTTCTTTACTGTGAGGGTGACAGAGCCCTGGCACAGGCTGGCCAGAGAGGGCGTGGGCTCTCCTTCTCTGGAGACATTCAAAACCCACCTGGACACGTTCCTGTGTGATCTACTGTAGGTGATCCTGCTCTGGCAGGGGGCTTGGACTAGATGATCTTTTGAAGCCCCTTCCAACCTCTGACATGCTGTGATTCTGTGAACTGTGAGCATGTTGCATTGAATCAGGAAAGCAGAAATCCTCCTGCTAATGGGGAGAGGAATTGCAGTGTTGGAGATGTCATGAAGAGCCTCTCCACTTGAAAGGGATGAGAGGGCAGAGCACTTGGAGCAGTGCTGTCCTTCCCTTGGGAGACTCCTTGCTCCTGGCAGGCTGACTTAGCTCCTACGTTCCCAAAGCTGCCCTTTGACAGGCAGCTCTCGAAGAGAGCACTTACCCAAAAGAAAAACCCATCCTGTGCTCAGCTGAACCATGAGAGAGGAGAAAACTATTTGTCCCCTTCTTACAAGCTTGAAGCCAACACTGTCAGTTTTGCTTTGCCTTGTGTGACACATGCATAGGAATAGATAAATATTGAATCCTCCTAATGGTGGAGGGAAGGGCAGAAAACTCACTGCTGTATGCCTGTGAGCAGGGTGTGCGTAGGGGTCTGCTTGTGGAATAAGTCATGTGCCTATTGATCTTGCCAGGGAAAGGTGATGACTGGCTTCTCAAACGTGACGAGTTGGGAGGGAGTCACTCCAGCATAGCGTGCATCGCCGCAGCACACTCCTCGGGTTGTTTCACAGAGGAAAGGAGAAATTGCTGTGTTGAATCTTAAGATGACTCACTGATTTCATGCATGTTGATGGTTTATCGCTGCTGTCAGCCTTCTAACAGGGAATTTAGCAAGCTGACAAGGGTCTTTTTTTTTTAATTCCGGGTGGTTTTAAAGGGGAAGCGTTTTTTAGTCTTGGTTCACTTTTCTGTTATCTGTTTTATAATAACCACTGTGGTCATCAGATGGACCAAACGAGTGTAAATTCTCTTTTTGTTGTTGTTCTTGAACACACAATTAGCAGAGTATAGCTATCCCCAGCAGGCTGACACATAGCCAGGCTTGTTGTTTCAGACACTTGCTCTGCTTATTCTGGCAGCTTGGATTCTAACCAGCACAAGATCCTGGGATTCAGACATGCATGGGATTTACTTCTCAAACACATCCATTTTTACTCATGTTTTCCCTTCAGATATTACTCCTCCTCCCCTTGGAATTGTTGTATATAAGTGGAAACATAGTGAGCAATTGGGGCTTGTAAAACATTTCACTACAACTCAGCTGACTGAGAAATGCAGACTTGCTCTCTGCCTCATTTCACTCGTGTGCTTCATTTAAAGCCTTTTTTTTCTTTTCTTTTTTTTAAATCAACTTTTGTTTCCAAAGTGATGAGCCAAGATGAAACCTGATTGTTACAGCTGCAGGAGAAGAGTCGTAACCAAATGACCTGCCCCTATAGCAAATGGATCTCTGTGTGGCTTTGCCCTCTCTGAAGCCAGATATCATGGGTGGAGGAGGGATAAGTCTGACTCACTGGTAAAAACATTAGTCCAGTTGGCTCTTGCAGCTGCAGGAGCGGAATGGATGCCTTTTTATTGCAGAATTGTGCTTTGTTGGTCAGTGCATAGGTGATGCTGATGACAAATCAATGGGCTGTAGGAGGCGCAGGGCAGGGCTGCAAACCAGCCATTGCTGTGCTCTGATCCCACCTCCTTACAAGTCACTTTGCTTTTCCATTTTCTTGTCTGTAAGTAGTGGTGTTGGGGGTACTGCAACAGCCACCCGTAAAATGCAAGAACATGCAAGTGCTGTGTCTCCTTTTTTGCCTGGTTTCCACTTCCTTGTCCTTTCTAATTTCAGGATGGCAAAGTGAATGGTGTGACAGATTCAACAAGGATCTTGGGGTACACCTTCCTTCACCCAAGTGTCGTGCCACGTCCTCACGTCCAGTCCATCACCTTAACTCCGCAAGATGAGTTCTTCATTCTGGGGAGCAAGGGGCTGTGGGACAGCCTCTCGATGGACGAAGCAGTGGAGGCAGTCAGAAATGTGCCTGATGCCCTGGCAGCCGCGAAGAAGCTTTGCACTTTGGCCCAGAGTTACGGCTGCAACGACAGTATCAGCGCCGTCGTGGTTCAGCTCAACGTGACGGAGGACAGCTTCTGCTGCTGTGAGCTTAATGGAGTCCCACCACCCAGCCCAGGCATTTTCCCCCAGTCTGTCAACGTGGTCATCAAGGACAGGCCAACAGATGCGCTCGGGATGCCGTCTTCGAGCAGCGGCATGGCTTCGGAGATCAGCAGCGAGATCTCCACCTCTGAAATGAGCAGTGAGGTGGGGTCCACAGCCTCCGACGAGCCGCCCCAGGTAGCCATGAACGAGAATAGCCAGGCCTACCCA